CCCCCCTCCCTATCCCATCAATAAGCAAGAAAAGGCAAGCTAGATCGACCCATGCCCCGCCGTCTCAAACGGCAACCCCCAACACACGACCCCGACCACCACCCACAGCGCCGCCGAGGCATAGATGGGCGCGGTGGTGAAGCCCGTCTGCGAGGCGATGAGGCTGGCGCACAGCCCGCCGAACCGCAGCAGGCTCGCCGCCGTGCCGGTGCCGGTGCCGCGGTGCGGCGCGGGGAAGGATTCCGGGGTGAAGGCGTACATGATTGCATACTCTGCAGGACCCGATCATTAGTTCGAGTGTTACACGTGGGTGCTTGGGTTCAGCTGGGTTCAGCTGGGTTAAATTTTGGGCTGGAAAGGGAAACACAGGCCTACCAAAATTCCCCAGCATGCCTGTGACGCACGCGAACGCCAACGAGGAAGTGCGGTTGCTGACGCCCACGTAGGCGAACAGGAACACTCCCGTGATGATGGACGAGAGGCCCATCATCCAGCGTCGGCCGAAGATCGTGGTGACCAGGTATGCCGCGGACAGGGGGCCGACGACGCCGACGGCGGATTCGATGCAGTAGTTGCGGTAGGTGGTTGTTAGGCTTGTCGATGAGGTGAATTTCGTGGCTAGGTAGGAGGGGAGGAAGTTGAAGTAGAGGGGGTAGGCGATTCCTTTTTTTCTCAGGTATTAGTATAGTTTGGGGGGAGGGGGTGGGACTGATGGTAAGGGCAGACGAACCGATGGTCAACCATATCCCCCAGATGATCACGGTGTGTCTGGTCAATGGTCTGGTGGCGAAGAGCGCGCGATAGTGCTCGCCCTTGAAGTCTTTCATGTTCTCGCGCAGGATCTCAGTCGTCGAGAGGGCGGACGACGTCGTGGACGGGATGCCCAGTCGGGCGTCGATGTCCTGCAGCATGCTCAGGGTCAACGGGGGCGGCTTGCCGTTCTCCTTCGCGACGTGGTTGACGGCGTCCACGGCGGCTTGGTCGCGGCCCTTGGAGAGGAGGTATCGGGGTGTTTCGGGCAGTTTAAACACGAAGGTGCGGATGAGTGTGAAGGCGAGCGAGAGACTGCCCAGGGTTATGAGGGTGTACCTCCTGCATTGAGACTGCGTGAGCATTATCCCCCTCCCAGCTCTCTCTCTATCTTGGGCAGGAACTCACCACCCCATATTATCCCCCCGACGACACGTCTCCGGGGTCGAATCCGCCGCGCAGCTGAAATTCGCCAGAAACACCCACGCCACCAGCGAGACGATCAGCTGGCCCAAATTCCACCACGCAGAGAGCGCAGTCAGCAGCCATTGATGACTGTCCTGTTAGCCCCCTATCCCCACGGCATATCGCCGCCAGAACTGGGAAACTCACCTCCCCGGCACAAACTCCAGAAAGATCATACTATCCACCGGCACATTCCCCCCGGCCGCCGTCCCGACCATCGCCCACATCGCGCTGAACCCCACGAAGTTCATCGTCCCCGCTGCACCACAGAGAAAAATCCCGGCAATGAGCAACGTGCAGTTGAACGCGGGCTTGCGGCCGATGAGGTCGCTGGAGATGCCCCAGAAGGAGGCCCCCAGGATCAGGCCGATGTAGTAGGCGACGGAGCTGTAGCTGACCTGCACGATACCGGGGAATTCGAGCTCGATGGGTGGCTGCACGGCGCTGATGCCTTGGGATGCGAACTGGCTGGTCAGTTTGTTCAGGATGCTGGATCCAAAGGAGACGTACATTATCCACTATCCATCCAAACCCCGTGACCACGAAGAGTTTCCATTGGAAGCTGGGCACGTTAGTGATGCTGTCGGACGATGAACGAGGGAGCAGCGTACCGCCCCATCCCTATCTCCTCCATGCATCGCCCGATGAGTTCTGACTTGAGGCGATACGCTTCCGTCGTGGACGTGCCGTAGAACTGCTGCACGTCGAGGTCGTCGAAGATCACGCCCTTCGTCTCGGCCCCGAGGCTGTGGTTGTCGTTGTCATGGTGAGTCTCTCGGATCACGTCTGCAGAGTCTTTCTCCGGCTTGATGCTCTGGCTCTCGCTCTCGGGAGGGGTTCGTTGGACGTCGTCCATGATGTTGTCTTCAGATTTCTCTGGATAAACGGCCATATGATCACGTATCACGTCTTGGAGCGTCGACGACTGTCCTGTACTCTCTCAAATACTATACGAGCTGAGTTAGGGCTGGCGGTGCATGGACCACCTCCGCATTACGCAGCAACAACCACGGGAATCTTATCGGCATATCCAAGGGTGGGGGGTTGATATCATGCCTCCACTCCTGAAGGCAGTATAGTAAGCCCCCTTATTACCCAGTTCTCCATCTGATTGGCAGGATGGGATGTAGGTGTTTGAGCTGTGGCGAACCACCCAAAAAGAAATCCGGACGGAAGAGTACTGTAAAGCGACATGGGTTGAACTGGGTGATTTGATAAAGGCTCATATGTACAACTCAATCTAGACATGAACTACGCCCCGACAGCCGCCATTGGCGGCGTCACCTCCATCTTCGCCTTCATCTCCTGCTTGTACTTCTCCGCTCTACCATAACTCTCTTTGTACGACGCCGTCACCATCTCCTCGACCGTGATCGGGGGGTACTTGGGGTCCTCGCCCAGCTGCCGGCAGTTGGGCAGACACTCGCACAGGTAATCCGGGTTCCCGCTGAAGAAGAAAGGGATGCTGTACCGCTCCTTGCCGGACTTGTTGATCACCCGGTGGATGTTGGATTTGTACCGGTCGTTGGCCATGCGCATGAACAGGTTGCCCAGGTTGACGACGTAGGCTCCGGGCACGGGTTCGACCTTTTCCCGTTAGTATCTCCTCACACCCCTGACATGACACAAGCAAGAAACTTACATCCAGCCATTCGCCGGTCGGCGCGTCGAGAACTTGCAGCCCGTCCACCTCATCCTGCAGCAAGAGTGTAATACAACCAAAGTCGGTGTGTGCGCCAATCCCCCGGTTCAGCTTTTCGTCCGCGTCCTTCGGCTGGGCCGGGTAGTGCAGGTATCGCATCGTGGCGACCGCCCCGTCGGTCAAGGAATCGAAGTAGTCTTCCGACACGTCGAGCGTCAGCGCCAACGCGCCCAGCACGTCCTTGGCCAGATCAAACACCGCGTGGTAGTATTCCATGGTCGTGCGTTTGAACTCCTCTTTGTCCGGGACGGTGGACGGCCACTGGTTGGGGCCGCTGTTGAGCTTCTTCTGCACGAAGTAGGGATGGTCCTCGGGAATCTCCTCGCCCACGTAGTATCCCTCCTTCAATTCGGGCCCGGTGCCGACTTCGAGCATCTGCGATCGAAGCAACTCGTAGCCACGGTTCCAGGTGTTGTGATCTACCCAAACTGTGCATTAGCGCGGGAAACAAATAAGCTGTGATCAGTGGGCGCACGTACTCTTGTCAACCAGAACCTTCTCCTCGAGAGGGAGATCAAAGAATCGTTTCGTGCAGGCCATGACGCGCTGCTGGAGCTCGCGCGGTACGCGGTGGCCCGTGATCTGGAAGAAGCCATTGTACAGACAGCATTCGCGGATCTGTTCGACGAGCTGTGCCTTTGCAGCGCTATCGCCGCCGTAGAACACGGAGAAATCAAGGATTGGAGGGGCGCTGGGAGACATCTTGCTGACTGGGCTGGAAAACACGAGCTTGGATGGGTGAGGGGTCGATTGCCATTGTCCAGTGAATATATCCTTTATCGCGGGCTTTATCGCCCATTGAGGGGTCACTATCGTGGATGATGCTCGGAACGAATACCGAGGAGTTCGACGCGAGCAGTTCAGCAGCGGACAAGAGTGGGGGACGGCGAAGAATGGGGATTGACGAGCCCAGACCAGCTTCTACGATAAGACTGATAACATGGATGCGGGGAAAGTCGAAATGGGAATAGTTGGTTATCAGAAAGGATATCGATAGGCAGGGTGGGTTACACCATAGATGCAGGGGATATACCACTATTGGATATATCACCTCGCCGCCTCGTCCCAGCCCTCGCAAGGGGGGGTGGTGTAACTCCCATTGCCAGCATCATGTCATCTATCGACAAGGCCGAGAAGAGTGCGCCTCTACCATCAGAGTTCGAGATGAAGCGCGGCGAGAATGAGGTCTACATTGACCATGAAGCCGAGAAATCAGTTGGTATGTCGAGCCCTGCGCTGCGAGACCAGCCCTAACCGGTCGCAGTGCGGAAGGTGGATCTGTTTGTGTTGCCCTTGCTATGTCTGGTGAGCATGTACCCCATCATACCTCGACTGCCAGACACTGAACTTGATAGATGTACTTCTTCGATTGCATGGATCGGGTAAGGCCAACCCTCATGTCAAACAAGAGGAGATGTTGACCGCAGCAGAGCAACCTGGCCAATGCCAAAACCGACGGACTCGACGAGGATATTCATCTCAAGGGGAATGATTATTCGCTGCTCGTGCTCCTCTTCTACATCCCCTTTGGACTGTTCGACTTGCCATGGAATCTTCTCCTCAAGCGCTACTCCGGTCGCATTACGCTGTCGTTTAGTAGGTTCTTTCCCTTATCAATCTAGATTGAAGCTGACTCCGAAAGTGACTGTCGTATGGGGAATCCTAGCTCTGTGTCAATGTGCCGTGAAGAGCTTCGGCAGCATGATCGTCGTGCGGATGATCTTGGGGTAAGCGACCGATCCAAACATGCAGGTCTAGCTGCTGATCGTTTCAGTGTCTTTGAAGCAGGCTTCTTCGCTGGTGCAACCTTCTACCTAACTCTCTTCTACACCCGCGACCAGATGGGCTTCCGTCTGGCCATCATTCAATGTTTTGCCGTACTTGCTTCGGCATTCAGCGGACTTATCTCGTTCGGGGTGTTTCAGATCAACGACCCCGCCGTCAAAGGGTGGCAGTGGCTGTTCATCATTGAAGGCAGCATGACTTTTCTGATGGGTATTCTCTCGTTCTTCTTGCTGCCTGACGGACCTCAAAAAGCCTGGTTCTTGTCGGAGCGAGAACGAGCAGCTGCAACTGCCCGAATCCTGCGCGACACCTCGGCCGAGGTTGAGACGGGCTTGAATCTCAAGACTGCGTTCCAGATGTTTTCGGACTGGAAATTCCTGGTCTGGTGTGTGATCTCCTTCACGTATCCAGTAGCTTATGCGACAGCCATGAACTTCTTTCCTTTGGTAAGCCACAACCTCACGAACCCTAGAAATGACACTGACTGTGCAGATCGTCGGACGCCTCGGCTATTCAACAGTCAAGACCAACCTCTGGACAGTCGCCCCGAATCTAGTAGGCGCCGTCGTGCTTCTCTGCGTCGCATGGTCATCCGACTACTTTCGCGAGCGAGGATTTCACACGGTTTTCTCATTGGTCCTGTCGCTGATTGGGATGATCATTCTGGCGACCATCGACGTGCTAGACAACAAAGGTGTGGCGTACTTTGCCTGCTTCCTTATGGCAGCCGGGGCCTACATCCCTTCGTGTCTGGTCCATGCCTGGCACAACAACAATAACGTGCACGAAAGCTCCCGCGCAGCTAATACAGGCTTCTTGGTTGGGTTGGGAAACCTGGCCGGAGTGCTGAGTGCAGCAACTTTCCGCACAGAATATGCACCTAAGTAAGTTCTCTTGCATCTTCAGCAGTACTGAGCTAATCATTGTAGATATATCCCCACTCTCGTAGCGACATGTTGTTGTAATGGGGTGGCCATCGTGGTGATAACTGCGCTGAGCGTGTATTTCAGACTTGAGAATCGGCGACGAGACCGAAGCCAAGGCGTGCGACGGCGAGCAGAGGCCGTGGAGACTCGGCATTTGGCCGAAGGGGAGCGGAGTCCAGAATGGCGCTATTTTCTATAGCCTGACAGTAGATAAAGTAGCCTTGGTAGTCAACTTGGTTATCGAACTTGATATCAAACCCTGTCTCTCCGTATCTATGCTGATAAGGAGGGAGGATCCGCTGGCTGTCATTCGCGTAGCGCCACCCCCTCTCTTCCCCGCTTATCAATGCGCCATCGTGCATGCATGCACCCATGCATACGACCTTGCTAGGTATTTAATCCTCTCAGAGTTGGGGGGCGGGCGGCGATCTCGTCACGTCTCCTTCGTGTCCGTTTTTTCTTCCGGCTGATAATGGCCCCTCATGAAGTCCCACGTCTGCCACTGGCCCGACTGCGGCAAAAGTTTCACGCGTGCTGAACATCTGCGACGCCATGCTTTGAACCACGAGCAAGCCCGTCAGGGCTACGTCTGCGAGCGATGCTCGGTGCATTTCCACCGCCCGGATCTTCTCAGTCGCCATCTCCTACGCCATGCCAAGCGGGATGAAGAAGCTGGAGGACCGGGGCTGGGAGTGCTGGAGACGCGCAAGAGGACGCGCCGGGCTGATAATGGTAATATCGTTGTCCGACCGCCGAAGCGACAGTCTCGGGGCAGCGCTCCTAGAAACAATATGCCCGAGTGCTCTGCTTCGGAGTCAGTCGCTTCGATGGAGCTGTCATCGGCCTCCTCGTGTGCACTGTCTGTTACCAGCTCTCACGAGTCGGACCCAATCCCCGGGGCGCCTGTATCACCGCCTCGCTCGACGAGTGATCCGACGACGCTGTCCTTGGATGATACAGATCCGCTGCTAGCGCCCATGCCTCCCAATGGACCCTTCGAGCCGTACGTTGAGCCTATACCGGGACAGTTCGATGCAGCCGATGGATCTTGGAGCTTTGACCAAGGGTCGATCGAGGATTTCTTCAACCTCGACACAGGTATGAACTCCTCTTCCGCCGTGCAAGTCAATGCTAAGATCAAAAAGCGACCGATTTCAACATGCCGTTTGCCGCGACGAACAACTACAACTGGCTGTTTGATGTGGCTTCTCTGGACGACGCTTTCCCTCCCCTCGATATAACGTTAGAACCAGACTTGCTGGCCTGGACCGTTCCAGACCCCGATCCATCGGCCGTTCTGCTGCAGGCAGCCTCGTTTGTCGAGCGCAGCCCGGATACCTCCCTTGACTGGCTGTGTGGACTGGACACAACCACAGACAACCCTTCAGCACCTCAGCTCCCATGTCTCTCAGATGAGGCCTGTCAAGGTCTACTCGACTTGGTGGCTCGTAATCCGCCGTCGGGATTGGATGGCAAGCCCACGCCCCTCGACTCAGCCCTGCTCTCTGTGTCAGCGCTCCAACAGTACTGCGATCTCTTCTTCACGCGGTTCAATGTGACCTATCCACTGATCCACGCGCCCACCTTCGATCCCAACACAGTTGACCCCATTCTCCTGGGCGCGATCCTCTCCATGGGCGCCACCTACAGCAGCCGCGAGGCTCACCAGCTGGCTGTGGGGATCCATGATTTCTTGCGACCGCAGCTCTTCTGCCATCTCGATTTCTCACCGCAACCGCCCTTATGGATTCTGCAAGCGATGTTGTTGATCGACTGCTTCGGCAAAATGCGGGCAGGTCCCAAGCAACGCGAACGAGCGCAGCTCTTCCACTGCGTGCTGATTAAGCTCATTCGGCGCAGCACCTGCTGCACGATCCGCTCGACCGCGTCCCCCGCGTTATCCGACGAGGACCTCGCGAACAGCTGGCACCAAGCCATGGAGGGGGAGCAGCGGAAGCGACTAGCCATGCACTGCTTCATGTGGGACGTGCAGCATGCGGTCCTCTTCTCGCAGTCACTTTGCATGTCCGCTTTCGAGATCCGTGCCGCTTTACCCTGCGCGTCGGCGCTCTGGAACGCTCCGACCGCAGAAGCCTGGGCTAGAAGCTTTGCCTCAAGCCCCGACTCCGAGCCCATGTTTCTGACCGTCTTGAAAGGCTATATCACGCCCGCCGCGGTTCCGCGACCGCGACAATTGAATCCGCTCGCGCGACTGGTGGTTCTGCACGGTCTGATGTCCGTGTCGGCGGATCTCAAACGTCGGGATCAAACGACCCTCCGCGGCGAGGATCCGGATCGCGTGGGAAGCTGGACCCGTCGCATGGGCCGTTCGTACGAGTTATGGAAGGCAGATTTTGATGCGGACGGGCTGGCGATGAAGCTGGGCGAAAGTCAACTCGGGTCGTCGGACAGCGCGGGAGTCTTCCACAGCGCGGCGCTGGTGCTGTATCGCGCAGCGCAACTAGCGCTTCAAGCGGAAGTGCTGGATCTCCAAATCGGCGCGGGCGCGCCTAGTATTCTTGGTCGGACGGTCACGCAGACTGATCGCGACCGGTCGGCTCGGGCGTTGAGCCACTGGGTGCGCTCGGAGTCTGCGATGCAAGCGGCGAAACAGGCGGCGTGGATGGTTCGGGAGGCTGTTTCCAGCCGTCAGGGCAACTGGGAGGCTATGGACGCGTTCCACTTCCCGTGGTGTTTGTACGTAGGAACATTGGCCTGTTGGGCTGTGCATGGAGGAGGAGTGCACGAATTTGGAGGGCAGCGGGTGAGTCTCGATCTGGCAAGTCTGCTTGTGTCCCTGACCGGAGAGCGAGTCAATGAGGGGCCCCGATATCACTATGATATGCGTGGGTTGATTCGGTCAATGGCACAGCAATTGGCTACAGTTCGCTGGACGGTGGTGCATGAGGCGATGAAGGTGCTGACAGGGTTGGTGGAGGGATAGCTATCAATTGCCTATCAGTTAAACCCACCAATGAAGCTAACTTACCC